ATATATATATATATATATATATATATATATGTATAGTATAGTAGTACTTTTTATTAAATAGTATTTTTTACGTGTCCTTTTTGATTTCTTTTGTAAAACCCTATTTATATTCCAGATCTATAATGGTCCCTTTTCTATAGAAATAAGACTTTATTTTTTGCTAAAATAACATTGTGTGTTTAGTGTACTGATGTACTGATGAGTAAGTAACGCTTTTAAATATTGATGGGAAAAAAAATTAACTTGATATTTTTAACTCCACTTTCCTCTCAGCAAAGGAAGCATTTAGGGGTTGTTGTCTTTGTTTCTGTTTTCCCAGGTCATGCTCATCTAACAGACTTCAACATAGCCACCATAATAAAGGATGGAGAGAGAGCCACAGCGTTGGCTGGAACCAAGCCCTACATGGGTAACATTGATCTGCTTAGACCTAGACTCAGACAACTTTTATTGTCCTTATGTATACACAAAGTATATACAAAACGAAATTTCCTTTTGTACAGCTATCAGAACATTTCCATTCCATAAAGTACAGTAGTGATCAAATGTAAACAGTTATGGAGAGAAAAACATGGTGCAAAAAACACATTGATATGGAAATTCTGAGCTTTAAATATACATGGTTTCGTGTTATAGTGTGATGCAGAGTCTGTTACATGATTTAGAGTTTTTTTTAACAGTTCAGCAATCTGATGGCAGTGGGGAAGAAACTGTTGCAGAATCTGCTGGACCTGCATCAAATGCTGCAAAGCCTCTTCCCACAAATTTGTTTTAATAGTTTTTGCTCTTACAGTTAAGTAATCATATTCAGTTGATTGACTGTTATCAGGAAAGCCAAAGCAGTCACAACAGCCGGTGTTCAGAAGGCCTGTGCACTGAATAAGCTCAAAGTAACTTGACCTTATCAGATTATCCATCAGGTGCTAAGAATATTAGTACTAAAATGTTTCTTAATAATCAACAATTTCCAGATGCCGCCACCTCAGAGCTTGGTTACCACACTATGGCAGCAAAGGTGTCCCTTCTTTTAGACAAAAACATCAATGTTAGGTGCTGGCTGCAAAGCTGTTTCCACTGAATAATCTGCTGTATGATTCTATGGCAGGGAAGTGATTTCATGTTTAGGGTAGATTCTCATTTAAGGTAAGGGGCTCCCCCCAAATCTGCCCAGCAACAGATGGCATTCCCCAGCATCATGGACCATAAACAAATGTGATAACAAGGAGTCACAAACATAAAAATATTGAAGATTCTTACAGTTTATCAGGAAACTACTCAGATATTATGAATGCTTAGAACATGTCAGTTTTCAAACAGAAGCTCTAATTGGACAAGAAGCCATCATCAGGATATGGTCCTGGAGTTAATATAGTAAAAGTTAAAATTGTTCTGTGTTTAACAAAAATGATTAAAAGAAGATCTAAAACTGTTGAAAACTGAAACAAATTTGAAACCTTTAGATCTGACTGTAGATTTAAGGTGTGAAACTCTTGTGTCTTTCTGAAAGGAGTGTTTCAGAAAGAAAGCTTTTTTTTTTCTTTGTTCGACATGTAACAAGGATCTTTTGCAGCTCCGGTCACAATGTTTCTGCATTGCTTTCAGCTCCAGAGATCTTCCAGTCGTTTATAAGTGGAGGTACAGGCTATGCTTTTGAAGTCGACTGGTGGTCTTTGGGGGTAACAGCCTTTGAAGTGCTGCGTGGATGGGTAAGGCTAAACCCACCGTCCTTTCATTTGTATTTTAAGCTGATAGAAATGAACATATTTGACTTTCAAGGTTGGTCTTCAATGTTTTTCTTGTTTTTTCCTTTCTGGTAATCCCAGAGGCCCTACGACATCCATGCTAGTAACTCTGTGGAGTCTCTTATCCAGCTCTTCAGTACAGTGAGCGTCCAGTACAGCCCTGCCTGGCCTAAAGATCTGGTGGCCCTTTTAAGGAAGGTGAGCTAGACTGTCCGTCCCTCCATCTTATCTCTTGATAAAACCTCACATGTTGCTTTTACCCCTCCACTCTTAGATAAATAGGTAAGCATGCTTGCTACTTTAGAAAACATGGTTATATTTACATTTTTATGTCTTGTCTTATTTGGGACAGTTTGATCCAAATCAGATTGCTGAAGCCAGAATATCATGTATGATCTTTGTCTTTGCACTGAAACCCCATTTAACTGCATGCTCCGTAACCTCCACCAGATTAATATGACAGATCTTTAGAAGGCTTTGCCAACAGAGTTATTAAGCCAAGATTACTCGGCATACCTAAATTTAAGGCTTTGATTCTCAGTTTAGATATCATGTAAGATTCAAGAAGAGTATCTTGAATTCGTGGCTATATCCTCCCTCATTTAAGGACGAAAAACACTAGCCGAGAGAGATGTAGCTTTCATGGAGGGCCTTAAACAGTTAAAGCGGAACACCATTTTTTTTTTACATTGGCCCCTTGATTTTACGTTATTACATCATGTTCTACTCAATCATATTAGTTTTGTGTATTTAGAGCTGTTCTGAAGATATTTGGTTAAGTTATATCCAAGTAACATCTTCCTTTCGGCAACGACTTGAAGGTACAAACTGAACTGTTCATAATGTATTCTTTATGGTACGCCAGCATTCATAATATGTAGGCGAATCACTGTCCCCCAGACATCTGCAGTTATGTTTTTTATATTTATATCTTTTAAAAACAAAGTGGAGTGTGTATGAGGTCATCCGCATGCGCCGGCTACCATTCATTCATCCTGTCCGCTGAACGGCTGCTAGTTTTACTCACATGCCTGGAAGATGTCTAGTGCTACTACCACAGATGATCTCGCTCTCGAAATGGAATTGAATGATTCAGATTAGCTAGCCGAATGAATAGAAGGAGTAGAGCGTAGCCACCTGTGGCCCGGGCTGCCTGTCACAACTCCAGTGATGACGTCATACACACTCCACTTTGTTTTTCAAAGATATAAATATAAAATATATAACTGCGGATGTCTGGGGGACAGTGATTTGCCTACATGTTATGAATGCTGGCTTACCATAAATGTTAAATTATTAAAAGTTTAGTTTGTGCCTTCAACTCGTTGCCCATAGGAAGACGTTATCTGGATATAACAAAACCGAATATCTTCAGAACAGCTCCAAATGACACAAAACTAATATGGGTGAGTAGAACATGATGTAATAACGTAAAATCAAGGTTCAATGTAAAAAAAAAATGGCGTTCCCCTTTAAGCTTGCAACTTAATCTCAAGCAGTTTACACCTGAGCAATGGTTGATTTAAAGTTTGACAAAATTGTGCAAATCTTTTCTTAAATAAATGGATAAAAAAAAAAAAAACATGAAGTTGCAGTACTTATTTTATGAGTACCTGTAAAGCTCCCCAACAAACACTGCATGGGCTCTCCGTCTTGGAAATAAACAAATACATTTAATCCATCTATTTCTTTTTTTTTAGCAGAAAGGATTTGATTAAGGAGCTCAAGCTGTTGAGTAAATACCGGCCCCCAGGAAAGAATCATTTGCCAAATTAGGGTGTCATAGAAAGGTGACCATATGTCAGTTAGTAGAACATGACTCAGCGGTACACTTAGAGTAGTTGAGGCTTTAGTTTTTACAATGCCGTAATTTCAGAGGTTGTAAGATTTGCAGTGAATTCCTACAGTTTTCTCCTTTTTTAAATGTTGTTAGTAAGTTCATTTGTTGAAAACAAAACAAATTAATGTTTCATTTTAAAAAGATAAACTCTTGAATAATGTTTATATATAATTAGGTTTGGAAATTCGTTTCCGCACACTAAGCTTAGCAGAGTTCACAGATACACTGAAGTGTCAGTAAGGATTTCATCATCTTATTTTTAGTCAGTGCTGACCTTTTGTCTTCACAGAAAAAAATAGCAAACACCTCCTGCAGGGAGGCATATTATCAGTAATCAGTATGTCAGTAATTAACCTTGGATTGTTGGATTAGCTGTTGTGGCGTTGAGCGTTCTTTGCATTGATGATGTTGAAGAAACCCGACTCTGGGAAACAACTTTCCAGCCTCAAGGGGACTGGGTGTTTGCATAGTAACTCCAAAATTTAATGACTGATGGATTTTTGCTCTAACTAATTGCACTTCTTATTAATGAGGGAATCAATTAAAGTATTTAGAATGCTAATTCCATTTTCATCGCATCTGAAGTTAGTGAGGCTTCCTCAGAAGGACGATTATAGCTTAAAAGGGGCACAGATATAGAGGTGATATGAGCTTATGTGCTGAGATAAAAAGTGTGCTAAGAGAGAAGATAGGATGCTTTTTCTGAGGGGAACTTCGCTGGAGGGAGGCAGGATGAGTCAAGACCCTCGGAGCATTGAAGGAAAATAGCGACAGATGGGAAGCACACAAAACATGCATGACAGAAACGTCACCCCCTTTTCTCTTCTGCATGTATATCAGCATGTCAAAAATAATCACTCAAGACAATCCAACTTAATCCAACTAATAATATACAATTTCATTATAACTGATCCTCTGAGTCAGAAAAAAAAAAAATTGGTCTTTTTATTTCATTTTTTTGTTCTCATGATAAAAGTCTTCCAGTAAATACATGGAAATAAATTATCCATGGCTTTTTTCATGAAACGTTTTATAGTGTGAGTGCTTCATTGCATCCATGTGCACTCTGTCTCTATGACAGAGTGCTCTGGACAGAAAGATGGTCTCTTCCGCTCTGCTGCTGATCGATTACCGTGTCTGGATTCCACCCAGATAGACCTAACTGGCCCTGCAGGAGAAAAAGTGAATCATCCTGCAACCAAAGAAACAAAATAAAGCACAGGAAGAGAGTTAACATGACAGCCAAAGCCATTTCCCATTATCTCTGATGGCATTTAGCTGCAAGTAGAAGATGAAATAAATTACATGCCATTAAAATACAAACTGTATGCAAAAACATTAAGGCTCTCTGAAACTAGGTATCTCTCTTTTACTTGAAACATCTACAATCATTTTTTTTTAGAGGTAATTAGTGGCTCAGTTTTTGTCTCCTTCCCACTTTTGTAGTTATCAAATGTTTGACCTGGAAATAAGATTCCACTTCCCTGCTCCAGTTGCATTCCTCAATTACTTTGAAATTTATGAATTACTTATTTTTTTGATCAGGGTAGCGCCTTAAATCAACACAACCAGATATCAGTATAATTTCCTGCATTTTATTGAAGAAAGCTTTAAAGGAAAGTAGATGTTCAGTACAGTATGTTCTGTGACCAACAGAAGAGCAAACAAACTATTTTATAGAACAGATCTCTGTTAGCGTTCAGGTGAAACAGCAATAAGTAAAGCAGAAAATTTACCATGGAGAGAAGGAAGGTAAGTAATTAATTCAAATATCCGCCTTAATCCACACAAGAAACTGGAAAGGAGAGTCAACAGTAAAACGGTCCATGAGAAAGGAGGACTGAGCAGACCTCTTAAGGAGGCTTACAGTATTCAATTTGAAAAACTCGCATATATATATATATATATATATATATATATATATATATATATATATATATATATATATATATATATATATATATATATATAT